TATTGAAGACTGGTTACCACTTAGTGTTACTGAAGAGCACATACTTAGTGGTACTCAGTGAGCATAGGCAAGCAGTACTTAATTAAATTATAAATAAAATAATACTCAATTAAACATAAATAGTATAACAATAATTACTTTGTGATTAAAAAATAAGTTATTTTTTAATCACAAAGTTATTATTGTTATACTATTTCTGTAATAAAATATGATAGCTGTAAAAATTTGAAATTATGTATAGGTTTATTAATTCTTACTTTTGCGGCCATTGCATATCTGGAGTAAAAATGCCAGGTGTCAATTCAACTAAAATATATAAATAAATAAAAATAGTAAATTATTGCAAACTCAAACATGAAAAAAAAATCTTATTAAAACTCCACATTTAATTATGAAAACTCCACATTTGGTTTTTAAAACTTACATCCTGGAAATCCTGGCCCAGGGATAATAGTTGTTCCTGAGATAGAAGGTGGACGAATTAACACTGGTTTTGTAACTTTTGTATTAGCTTTAGCAAACTCTATTCGTATAGAAGTAGGCAGTTCTGGGTCAAAACGAATTCCCTGAAAATAAAAGATTAATTTAAATTTAAGAAAGAAAAAGATGCAAGGTATAAAAATCAGCAAATTCTACAGAATGAACTAAAAAAAAATTTTTGAAGTACTTTTATAATATATATCTGAAGAAATTTCAAAAGGACAATCTTATTAAAAACAATTTTAAAAACATTGACTTTCAATAGATATACTTTTTTTAGAATTTTTGTTAAGACTTTTTAATCAGTAGCACATAAAGCCTTGATAATAAAATTAAAATTGTGTTAAGTAAATGAATTTATAGAATAAAATTTTAGTTTGTTTGAATACCCACAGTCCTTAAATAGATTTTGATTTTATTGTGAACTAATTTCCTTAGTTTTTCTTAGTTTTTCTTTTTTTAGTAGTTTAAACTTTAATTTTATTTTATCGTCCTGTTTCTTCAGAAACACCTAAAAGCAATGTTAATGGTGTCTTCCAATTTATCTTGTGAAATAGAATTGGAGATACTATTTAAATATAATAATAATAAAACAGCATAAAAGTTACCTGAAGTTCAGCCTTGCAAACTTCTGCCTGTTCTCTGTTTTCAAATGTGACAAATGCAACAGGCTATAAATTTATAAAAATGAAAGACATTAACATAACAAAATCAATGATAACTGCACGGATAACAATTAAAGCTCTTACACTCGTTTAGTATGTTTTAGATATTTTTTATAAACTGCTCATGAAAAAAACTATTCATTAACATTTATTTAAAAAAACCTAGATGTAAGGGGGCAATATGATACAATAGAATTTTAAACAAATGGAAATGTGTACAAATTAGATACACACTGTTAAGAAAATAACGTTTCAGTGTCACTATTGTTTTTAGTGGTTTTTATTAGGTATGTTAGTTGTTATTTAATTCACAAAATATTAAAATTATCAAATCGAGAAAAAACAAATTAAATAAAAATATATTAGACTAAAAACCCATTAATCTCATTTTTTATACTAGCAATAAACATCCAATATAAATATGTAACATTTACTCACAGTAATCTTTTTTCCCTAAATAAAAAACATTTGCTTACAGTGGCCTTTTTCCCCTAAAATAAAAATAATAAAACTAAAATATAAAAAGATCTTTAACTTTATTACATAATGCAATAATAAATATATATATATATATATATATATATATATATATATATATATATATATATATATATATATATATATATATATATATATATATATATATATACATATATATATATATATATATATATATATATATATATATATATATATATATATATATATATATATATATATATATATATATATATATATATATATATATATATATATATATATATATATATATATACATTAGGGTGTCCCAAAAAACAACTTTTTTAAAAATAATCTGCTCTCACCCCCTAAATGTATTCTATCTAATACAAAAACATTAAGTTAAAATTTTTTTCAATAAAAAATAATTTAAAGGGTCCCTCAAGACCCTTGAATATTTAATAGGTCCCTAATATTTTCAAAAAAAAAGTTTTTAAAAATTATGTCAACCTGGTACTCAAATGAACCGAAATTATATAAAAATTTCAAAAATAATGTTCATTTTGGAAATTTTGTTAAACTTGTTCATTTTGAAAATTTTGTTAAAAAAAAAAGTATGATTTAAATACGTATCGTTTTTTCCGAATTGAACATTATTTTTAAAATTTTTATATAATTTCGGTTCATTTGAGTACAAGGTTGACATAATTTTTAAAAACTTTTTTTTTGAAAATATTAGGGACCCATTAAATATTCGAGGGTCTTGAGGGACCCTTTAAATTATTTTTTATTGAAAAAAAATTTAAACTTGGAGTTTTTGTATTAGATAGAACACATTTAGGGGGTGAGAGCAGATTATTTTTAAAAAAGTTGTTTTTTGGGACACCCTAATATACATACATACATACAAACATATATATACACACATATATGCATACACACACACACACAAATATATATATATATATATATATATATATATATATATATATATATATATATATATATATATATATATATATATGATAAAAACTAATATCATGCTATATTGTTACTATTATATTGTCATAAATTACTTCAAGAATAAAATTTTGCTCTATGCACCTACTTCTTTTCCTGTTAGTTTTAACAAAGAACCTTGGTAGCCCTATAATTTAAACAAAAAAGAAAAATTGCACTAAAAAAAGGATAATTAAAAAAGTAATACATTAAAAAAAGTATATATGTTATAGTCTAACATGGATTTTGAAACAATTGCTATAATGCTCTCAATTTGTCATTTTTGTTTTTCCCTTATTTAAAATAATTAAAAATAATATTTTTTAACAAAAAAATCATTTTAAAGTTGCAATTTATAGCAAAAAACATCAAGCAACAAAAAGATAATTATTTAACATCATATATCAAATGTATTGGAGATTTATTATAAAAAATTATTGTAAAACTAATTTTTAAATGCATAACAAGTTAATCACATAAAAAAAAACACTTTTTAAATGGTAAAAAAGTTAATTTAAATTTTCATTAATTAAAACTCTGGTTTCCTTCAAATTAAAAAGTTGTTATAGTATTTTACATTCAATTTTAAAATTTATTTGCATTTTATACGCCATTTTATGCCTTTTAGTCAGAGTTAATATAAGGCTTACAACCTCCATTCTTAGCAACTACTTGCTTTGCTAATATTCGATTTGCAACTGTTTTAAAAAGAATCTTGTTTGTTTATTTAGTTTTATCCAAGTTCACAATTGAAAATATTCTTTCAACACATGCTAAGTGGTGTGGTAATGCTAAAGAATTGCACATGAAGTTACACAAAACATCAACTTTCTTCCTGTTATTAGCATTTTTTACTTCTTGTGATCCCAACCATATTCAGGGAGGATCCTCATTATAGTTGACCCCAGATCTTGCTATAGATCCGAGTGGACTTCTGCAACAATATTTGGGAAATTTACTGCTAATATGATGATGGAAGGTTTATTCCTTGTTGGCAAGAGAATAACGCTGGTTTATCATTGTTGGCAAGAGAATAACGCCGCAATAATCTTGTTTTATAAAAAGTCTTCAAGTGGGAAAAGAATCAATAGAAACTCTTAAATCATTGTTTTTCTTTAATTCTGAAATAGAGGTGTTGAAAAATAAAGGTTTCCTTATGTATAAAGAGGGGAAAAAATTTAATGTAAAGGTGTTAGTGCAGTCATAAATGTTAGGTATAAAAGCCGCAAATCTTTTATCAGGAGTTGGAGGTGTATATTGTGATCATGTGCACATGCTCAAAAGATTATTGTTTGAATATTGAAAGAATTGAAAATGATTTTGTAATCAATTGAGACACTATAACTATAAATGAAATATTTAACTATTTTGAACAAGAAGATGTTTTTTTACTTAAAACTAATGTTTCTTAACTTAAAACTAATGTTTCTTTACTTAAAACCTAATTATATCACAAGGTTTGGACAAACCCTCAAACCAATTCCAACCTGTGATGTAAAGCCAATACAAATAAATTGGTATCTTGTAATAGTGTTCATATTATTCAATATTTTTAATATGTAAACATACTTGATACTAAAAACTATAACATTTAAAAATTAATGATATTTTTATAGGTTCCTGCTTCTTTACTGGGTATATTTGACCATTTCATGAAATCTGTTGTACATGTGATGCTGGTGTTTTTGATTGATCTGAGTCCCTTTTCAGTGCTTTAAATAGATTTCTGAAGCAAGCAGAAATATCATTACAAACAGAGATATGAAAAAAAACAGGTATAAAATGGATACAACTACCCTGATACAATTGGAAAAAGAAGAACAACAACAACAGGTTATATAGTTAAAGAACTATTGCTCAAAAAATCAAACAGGGATTTAAATATTGCACTATTACCTGTTTAATATCATACAATATTTTAAAAGTTCAAATTGATGCTCTCAGTAATTCTTAGAGTATTTTCCTCAAAAAAGAAAATTTTATGTGGATCAATATAAAAACTATTGTACAGATTTTTATTTGTTCCTATTTAATGAGTTTCCACCTGTTACAAAAACAAATTTACCTGGACCATGGATCAGTATAACACTATCACTTCACAAACTAATTAGTCATTCTTAGGAGCTAATTTTGAATAATGAGGAAAGTAGTTTGTGAAATCTTTATGACTAAGGGTTAAAATGTAATAACAAAATAATAGGATTGATACATACTAGACTCTCAAGAAAAATTACCTAAATTGTCAGTTAAACAGTCACTATTAACAGGATGTGGATATGATCTGATCAAATTTTTTTTGACAAGATATATAAGTCAAAACCATTCTGCCAATTTTGGTATGAATGAGGACATTCTGATAAATGTTCTCATAAACAAAATGTCTCATACAACATTTTATCTGAAGATGGAACATATTTTAAAATGTTAACATATAAATAAATTACGTATTTTTATTACTTCTATTGATAATTTCTATTGTTATTGCCATTGATGTACCTATATTACCTTTTTATTACAAACTATACATACATACTTATAACCATTTATAGTATAAAATATACGTATAGTTATACGTATTTTTATTATAACCTATAAAAAAGCAAATTTTATGAAGTTTTCAATATTTTGTTCTTTTAAATTATGACCTAAATATCCTGCAGCAAAAATATTTTCAGCTTTTTCGAAATTTACATAAAGTCCAAAAAGTTTTCCCAAAAGTCTTTAATCAACTCCAGAGCACCTTCTATTTAAAAGTTATGAACCAATGTCCGTGAAAACAGCTGTTTGGCCCACTGTACGCTGGGTAGATTTTTCATAAAAAGGTTTTTTATATTTTATACAAAATTAAGTGATTTCAGAAACAAATAACGAGGCCATTTTTATTGGCATAAATATAGATAGATATGAATTTGTACAACCGAATGCTTGTTTATTAATATATTCAGCTGTATACTAAAACATTCAGTTGTATATCAATATATTAAAATTCAAATATTCAAAGACGTTTGTAATTAACTATCCTGTCGTCTTTAAGCATTCATAATTTCATTTTCATTTTCATTCATTTTCAATATAAGATTTAGCATTAAGTTTTCGTAAGCCGGTAATTATTCTAACGTTTAGCTTCCGTAAACCGGAAGAATCGTGTGAATACGAAGCACCACTATAAATCGCAATAAAAAAAATTTCTTTCTATATTTTACAGATTAAAAATAATTCAACCTGATAGTAGGTCCCTGAAACTTTAAAATTCTCTGCTTTAAATTGTGGATAGCTTACACCCATATACGGTGTGTACGCTATGAACGTACACACCATATGTTGGTGTGCACACACCGCATGCGGGTGATATATTGTATAAAAATTATTATATCTTTTCAGATTTAATTAAAGATATATATATTTTCAGCTCTTGTTTTTTATATATTTCTGATTCAACATAATAACCTAAATTATAATAAATAATTTATCATAATTTCTAATTGTAATAAATAATAAACTATTTATTATTTATTTTTAGTGATTCAATCGTTCAATGCTTTAAAAAACACTACATTTACGTAATTTAAAAAAATAATAATAATTTGCTACGATTTACTATATATACCAAAATATATAGTAAATCGTAGATATAGTATATGCTTTGTTATTCAATTGTAATCAAGGATACGTTCTGGAAAATTATCTTCTTGCAAACAGCATTAAGTAACTTTTAACATCCCTAAGGCGTATTTATTGCATTTTTAATGCCTTTTTCAAACTGTTTTGTATAGTAATTATAATTGAGATTGTCAAAAAAGTTTGTTATAACAACTCGTCTATAGACGAGTTCTTCAAATTAAAATCTAAATATAAATAGTAAATATTTGTTATAAGTTTAAACGAAACGCTTTTTAAGTTTGAACAATCTGTACAACAACCATACGCGCGTATTTCAAATTATTGTATTTTGCTTTTGTTGCTGTGATCGATAATTTTAGACGATTTAAAAGATAAAACTAGGCATATAAATAATAAATAGCTTTAAATTTTTCTACAATTAAATCATACACTTTTAAATAAAAGATAAGACAGAAGAGGAAGAAAACGTTCATTTTATTTTATTGCGTTACAGTCGAGTAAAGCAGACCAGTAATTTATAAAAGTCGTTATCGCGAAAACTATTTAGATTAGTTTTTTTTGAAAGAAAAGCTAAATAGTTTTTGTGATAACACGTTTTTCATAATTTATAAAAAATAATTAAAATTCAAAATTTTATATACAATTTAATAAATAATTGAAATTTTTTTTTTCTTAACGAACAAAAGCTTGTTTAAAAATGTTTTAACGAATTAAAAAATAGAAAGATCAGAAAAAATCAGAATTTTTTAAAGTGCTAATTTGCGCTGTTAATAAATACATATTAAAGAGACGATCATATGAATTACAGACATTTTAGTTATTCAAAATTGTGTGAAGACAATCTTTATTTCTCTATGGCTCTTAAAAAAATCTAGACAAAGAAATCCACCTGAAACCCCCCACGGACGCTCTAAATTCAACTTTTAGTATGAGTCACATAAATTCACTGATTATAATGTCACAGATGTTTGAAAGATAAATATGAACTTTTCTTACTGAATAACTTCGGAACATTAGATAAATTTCTCTAGGTTTTGTATCCATAGGCAAACCACTTACAAATAAAGTGCGAACCTAAAAATTAAAGTTTAAAGTTAAATGTTTGACACAAAACAATTGCTTGTGATATATAAAAGAAGCCGTATCCTGCAAGAACAGCCTCTATAAGATTTTAATTTACAAAAAAAAGTGTACCAATTTTGAAACGTAAATTTAAAAAAAATATTTATGTTAAAAGTACCAATGAAGTAAGAAACAATCGTATTAAAACTTTCGGTGAAGAAAGTTTGTTTTAAAGTTTTAAAATTTAAAAACTAGATTTTAAAAATTTTAAAAAGTACCAAACGGTAAATAGAAACTTTTGTCACCAAAAGTTTTGATGCGATACGAATCAAGGAAAAAATCCTAATTATATAAATTAATCTATCAAATTTGTAAAAAAAAAATTATTAAATAAATATGGTTGTACAAACAATAAATTATTAAAAAAAAAATTTCAATACTTATTTTAAAAAAGAGCGCTTTTTTTCAGTTTTTTCCGTATAACTTTAAAAGGTTTTATTTTGATATTAGCAAAAAATTAGGCAAAAGATATTATCGAATTTCTTATTTTAATATTTAATATATTTGTCACATTTTTGTTTTAGTTTCTTATTGCATTTCTTTAAATCAGCATTGATGATTAATGAAGAAAAAAAACAAATTTCTATTTAAAATGTGGTTTCAGTACAAGATAGAGCTCCAAAACAGCATTTATTTTTTCACTCAATATTTTCTGTTAGAAATCAACCTATATAGGGAAATTGAAATTAATTTTTTTATTTTAGTAAACAAAACAAAACAAAGCAAAATAAAAGTAAGAGTTCATAACGATTTGAAAAATGTTTCTTTTTCAAGGAATTAATCCTTAAGTATTTTTTTGCAGTTAAATTTATTTTAGGATTATTATGCGCATTAACAGCTATTGTACAAAGATTGTGAATTTCCTTTTAAAACTGCAGTAAAACACTGAAAACGTTTTATTTCACTCTGAATTACTCATCAGTTTAATGATTAAATTTATTTTGTTTAATCTTTATATTATTGAAATTCATGCTTAATGTAATCCAAAAAAAAAATGTCGAGTTTTTGGCGACAAGTCGTTTTATCACCGCCTAATTGAATTTTATTACACACCAAAAATTTAAATCTAATAAAATGCGAAACTTCCTAAAACCTAAAACGCACAGATTTTTAAGAAATTTCTCAACGATAAAATTTTTCTTTAGTGATTAGAAAATACTTTTTTTTTTTTGCTTTTAAAAAAGATCTGCGTTTTTTAATAAAGCGTCACTAATTCTTAACGGTCTGTACCTTGTATAATACCTTGCAAAATAATAAGCCTATCGAAAGTTACGTTTAAAAATAGAAAAAGTGTTACAAGTTAAACATATTCCTAAATACGAACAGACGTTGAGAGAAGAATCTTAATAAATGCAAGATATGTTTTATACTTTTAGATGTCTAAAACACGTCTTACTTTTACACAGATACAGTCATATTTTTAGACGTCTTAATCACGTCTCCCTTTAACACAGGTACAACCATATTTTTAACTTATTCTTGATGTTTAAAAACGTCTTTTAGATATCTTGCTTTTTACACAAATACAGTCATATTTTTAACTTGTTTTAGATATTTTATAATATTTTTCTTGTTAATATTTGTGTTTATATTTTTATTTTTTTTACACTTAAAAATCATTTACTATAGTGGATTGTAAATTTTAGTTAAATTTAAAACAAACAAAGTTCTAAATTTACAACAACAAAAAAAAGTCCAAGTAAACAAACCTCTTGCTGAGAGTCGTCGCCTTGTGTTGAATCACTTGATACAGAATTATTATCCATACTTCTGTCTAGAGTCATTCTACCACTTTAATGCAGTGCTGTTTACAAAGTGTTATGCAGTGGACTAATGAAAAAATTTGAAAAGAGTTGATGGTGTTTAGTGAGCTAGTGCTTTACGTGCGCGTGTGGTGCATTTATTCGCGCTGTGCCGTTGTTGCTGCCTTTTTTTAACGTTTTTTGACTTTAGAAAAGGCTTAAAACAAACGATTACAAGATTTTTTTTTAGATAAACCACTTAACGTTTTTTGTTTTATTTTTTTTGTCAAGTTTTAGTTGATTTTAATCTTATCTTTTCAAAAAAAAAGAGCTGAAATCAATCTAAATACTTCAAACGAAACGCTATTGTGCAAGATTACAATAACGCGTAACGGCTGAAATTATACAATAAATTCTTTTCCACACAGATCAAACAAAATCTCTATCGCAACACGCCTAAAACAAACAAAAAATTTCTTATTTGTTTGCAACAAACTTAATAAACCAAAAAAAGCAATGTATTCTTTTGCAAGTGCTACTTTGCTTCGTGTCTTTACAAATACTAGAAAATTACGAACAAACCAGCAGTATTTATCATGAACATTTTTTTCCTTCCTTCTAATAAACCAATGCTTTCTTTCAATCTATGACTGATGTGCATAGAAGTTATTGAAGGAGGGCATTTGAAACCTGCTGCGAAGATGAATTGGCGATTGAATATTGAACTAATGCGCTTTAAAATTTTAAATGGAAAAAATCTAAAACGTCCGATCGTCACTTATAGTTGTGAATGGTTAAGAAAAATTAACCATTGAATTATTCATTTCTTACAAAAATAAATATTTTCTTATAAATTTCTTAAGCGTTTTTCCATTAGAAAAATCTAAAACAGTTTTCAAAATTTGAAAATTTTTTAGACAACTTAGGTAAAAGTAACTATAAACTATGCTAAAAGATGAATTTCCATAATTATTAGGGGAAATAGTTACCTAAAATTTTCTTAACCAGATATGTTTATACTAGCGAAATTGATAGTTGTAATGATAGTGGCGGTGCAATGACGCGGTGAATTTTGTTTTTACTATTTAGTTAACTTGATAAAAAAAAAAAAAAAAGCAAAAAATTTATTATAGTAAAACTTTTATGTAATGCTGAAAAGAAAGTATAATGCAATTAATCGAGAAAAGAAACAAAAATAATTGGTTTGCTAATACAGCATTTAATGGAGCCATTAATAATTAAAATAGCAAAGTTATAAAAAAGATTTTTTAAGTTTTAAATTATTTCGCAAAGCATCCACACAGTAAGGGTGTATAGTAGAGGTGGATAATATTTTGAAAAAAAATTCGCGTTAGAAAAAATGTTAAGCTTTATGAAGTGCTTGTTTTTTATTAAATTTAAAATTAGACACTTAAAACTTCCTTCCTAAACATATTATGAAGTCGAAGGGTAACATTTAATAGCTTTCATTGTACTCACTTAATGACTAGAATGCAGCTTACATTCCTTGCATATTAAACAAAAGCAATATTTCTATCTATAAGTATCCTGCGTTGAGATAAAAACTCTGCAAGGTTTAATTATTCAGCCAATAAATAACTTATAAAAACAGTATTGTCTATCTCTAGTTCACAAATAAACGAATTTTGACTGCCTAAAGGTATTATATATTTTTCTGGAAGAAAAATACCAAGGTTTTATTGTTTGTCGTGGTAACAAATTTTATTTCACCCCACCACTCCGGATACAACTGACATTTTTGTCTTTTTAAAAACCATTGCGGTGCGAGTTATTCTTTTAATGTAGATCGATTTTACTCAAATTAATCTGTTGAAAACGAATAATCAGGCTAATTATTTATATTTATAAAATCTGTTGGTAATTACAGCCATTCAAATTAAAGCGTTTATGAGAAACTAAAACAAACTAGCATTTTCAATTTAAAATAATAACAATGTTTATTTTAACATTTATTTTATTACCTGACAAATAAAATTAAAATGTACAGTTGTTTATATTTGATAAAAATATTTTCTCCCATAAAATTACATTTAAGTTTCTGTTAAAAATGATTGTCAATATAGTTGAAAAACCTTTCAGTGTTTTGGAATTAAATGCTATGTTGTTAAGACGTAACTAAACCTTATTAGTTGCATAGTAATTGCATAAGTGTTGTTAATTGCATAAAAGTTCATGTTTATATAATATAAATAATTTGATATATGCATGTTGTATACTAAAAGAGGCGATAGGTTGTTAATTTTTTCTATGTTAGAAATGAATCCAAACGTTTCTTATGGAAAGACTGGCTCGATGATGTTGAATTTTAAATTTCTATGTTCAAGAGGCAAACAATTCCAATTTAATGAGGTTTATCAAAAAAGCGTAAAACTTTGTTTAATTCAAATTTAGAACAAATCCACTCAACTGCCAAATATTTTGTGTTAATTAACAAAAAATAGAAATTTTAAAATTCTCAAAAGTAAAGTAAGTCTAAAACATAAAGATTTTTGTAAAAAAATTGAACTATTAAACTTTTATTAATAAAAACGAACAATTTGTTTAATTGAGTAGGCGAGATATGAGTGGAATGTCCCAATTATAAACCAGAGTTGATACTTTAATTTCTCTATAACTCTTGTCATTCATAGCATTTACTCCTAAAAATATGCAAAATGTTGTTACATGAATTAATTTACATTAAAAGTTATATGTGATCCTTATTTTTAGTTTGCTAAAAGTTTTATTTCATTATTTAACTTCCAGTACAACATTTGCCTATAACCGATCATTTTTACATCTACCAAATAATTATTAGATAAAAATATTATTAGATAAGAATAACTTTAAACCATGATTTTTTTTTTTAAATATCTTCGCTTCCAACAAGGCTTATCAACTTCCAACAATATATATATATATATATATATATATATATATATATATATATATATATATATATATATATATATATATATATATATATATATATATATATATATATATATATATATATATATATATATATATATATATATATATATATTTATATATATATATATTTATATATATATATATATATATATATATATATATATATATATATATATATATATATATATATATATATATATATATAAGTATATATATATATATATATATATATATATATATATATATATATATATATATATATATATATATATATATATATATATATATATATATATATATATATATATATATATATATATATATATATACATACAGAGTCGTCTCAAAAAGATTTTGATGGAGGGTTGACGTATCTGTTTTTTGCCCACTTAAACCCAAAATTTTTTTGCCGACTAACTATTTAAAAAAAAAAGGTCCTCGTTAGCCGACATTTGCCGACTGTCAACTATAGATCCAATTTTGCCGACTCCAGTGTCCAGTTTGCCGACTAATAAAATTGGTAAGGGGGCTGGATACCACTACGCTTCCTTCTTGGGGACAGCCCTGTATATTTATATATTTTTGAGATGAATAAAAACAACTAATTAGCGGGAAGTTTTGTGCTCGAAGGCAATTATCAGCCGTTAATATAAACAAAAACCGTAAACAAACCGTTTCAAAAGAAAGAAAATTAGTGTAGAATAAGTTCAGACATGACAATTTTAAGTAAAAAACAAAACAGAACATTGTAAACGTGATATCATTTAGTACAACTCTTCGTTCATGTTAAATGTCAAAAAAACAACAACAGGAAACCATTTTTTAGCCCTAATTAACACACAATTCTCAGCCCGCCATAAGTTACATAATCAATTCAAGCGAAATTCAAAGAAAATCTACATTTGCGTGTTTAATCTAAAATCCATCGTAAATTCATATAATTTCAAAAAACGAAAATCAATTAAAAACCAAAACAATATAACTGCGTAAATAAAGCATTTTGCACTTTTAATAAATAGTGTTTTACAAAGTATATTTTGGCATTAGTCATTCACAATTTAAATTAAAATTCGCAAACCATCTCAAATTGTTTTCACCGTTTAAGTAAAGAAAAGACCGGGTCACAGGCACCTAAGGGTGAATGTGGAGAAACTGAGCACGGACTAGGACAGAAACAAGACTCAAGTTGAGTTGAGAAGGTAAATGATTTGGATTGTCTGGAAAGCGAGTTAGAAAGTTGAATACTTGTGTTAGAGATTGAGAACGGCAAAAGTTGTGGGTCTTGACACCTTCAGAGTTACTGACACTAAAGCCAACCATTCAGTGTGATAAGCATTAAAGTCAGCAACAACAGCACTATTGGCTGAAGAATAAAGATAAACGGCCTAGTTAAACCTAGTTTCCGACAAAATGATGAATTTCTACGAACTTAAATGCCCAGGCTAAGCATGTGACTATAGGAATAAAGTATTAAAAGAAGATAACTATCAACTCTAAAATCATAAGATAAAACAGCTAAACTCAAAATAGTCTCACAAAGAGAGCATAGGTTTGGTAAACTTTGAAAGTGGCCTCGACAATACGCGTCAAAAGTACAAATACAGACACAATCCATGCGCAACATTGCACTGTTAGTATTCTGATACTTTACTGCTGTTGATGGAATTAGCCTTTCTGAAAGCTACCATAGAGTTTAGGAGCATTGACTTCCAGCCCGCCTCAGAGCCTTAAACTGAGCCTTAAAGCTGTACCCTCATTAGGAAATAATAGAATTAATTGTCTTATCATAAAAATAGAGACACAAGCAAAACTCATGCGTTGAGTCAAGATGATCCAGCATTCAACATCCTAAATAAAAACAATGTTTTATAAATACATCTACACAAGCCTAATAAGTGGAGAGGGTATGCGAGGCTGGTCAACAGATAGAATCTGTTCACCCTTTAAGTGTTTGTCTAAGATGTTTTCAACAAGACAGTAGCAAGAGGCATTTAAGGTCTGCCGTCTGCCAAGATCAGTATTTTTTTATCGAGACACCATTTCTTTTACTCAACCACTTTTACGTAGACCTGGCATATATATATATATATATATATATATATATATATATATATATATATATATATATATATATATATATATATATATATATATATATATATATATATATATATATATATATATATATATATATATATATATATATATATATATATATATATATATATATATATATATATATATATATATATATATATTGTATAAATGTTTAGCAAAATTTTTTAATAAGTATGATTAAAAGTTTTAGGTAACATAACAAAAACTACTCAAACTAAGATGAGTAAAATATATTTATTAGTTATATTTTAACAAATGTTTTAATTTCTCTTACATAGAATGCCTTTAATATGAAGGCCTTCTGTGTTAGAGATTTAAATAGTTTTTGAATATAATAGAGTTTGAATAGTTTTTCTCTTATTACCTGGAACTTTTTCTTTCACAAAAAAGAATAACCCACCCCCTTAATTAGAGGGGGCCACAAACTTTACATGGTCATAAAAACTAAACACTCAATGATTTAAAAATAAAATT